ATATATATATATATATATATATATATTATATGTTAAATTAAAATTACATAGACAATTACATAATGTTCAATGATTGGATTATTTGAGATATGATTTCGAAAGTATTGATCCATTTTGAGAGAAAAATCTTTTCATGGAGTACAATTAATTGAATTTTTCCTATTTCTAATAAATAAAAAAATGATTGAGAATAATTAAAAGTGAATAAATTTATTAAATAAATAACAATACTAATATATGTTTAAAATTCTTACTCTAAGTTGTAGAGAACAATCTTAATTAATTTTTTCTTCTGATTATTTTTGCTATTTTCTGTTAAGCTATCATTTTAATCACATGTCCATTGACATCTAAATAGTTTATGAATCACACAAAGTTTGTGTCCTAAGAATTTTAGAGTTTAGGGTTTAAAAGTTAAAATTAAATGAAAGATAAAATCTCATTCAATTATTAATATTTGTATTAATAATTTATTCTCTCTTAATAGTATATAAATAATATTATTATATAAATAATTTTATGTGTCACTTAAATAAATAAATAAAAAAGATTAATATTTACTTAAATTTTTTTAAAAAGTATTTATTATTTAAAAAAACATTAGGAAAGTGTAATACAATTTTCTCCTATATAATATAATATGAACATGACTTGCATTATATTGGAGTCAACTTTACACATGTTAGTAAAGCAAAAAGAGTCATATATATTATAATTCTCCAAGTTGAGGCCTTGAGTTATAAGAATATATATAACTGTTAGTAAAAAATAACATATTTAATGTCATTCTTAAGCTTGCACAGCCTATTAATTATAAGTGTCTCAATCAAGTGATCACCACCATCCTTTCTCTATCGACAATACTTATACTTCTCTTAAGACCTAAATTATGTCAATTCCGTGAAATACCGTTCTCTTAGTATCTGTTGAATTAATTAGAGCTCCAGTTGAAAGACACAGTAAAATCTAGAATGTTGGTTACAGGTAAGAGTACAGCTTTTAATCCTCCTTACAAACTTTTCATTCAGCAATGTATCGAAGAAATTGAATGTTTAATTAACTTGTTTTTTCTGTCTGTTATTTTTTCAACATCCAGTTTTTAGCAGTATGGCCTTCACAAAGAAGAGAACGATGTTGCAGATTTTTCCACCAAGTCTGCGGGACATTTGGGACAAGTGGGAGCTCCGATTTGTGGTTTTGTCAAGTCTCATCTTTCAAATTACCCTGGTCCTTCTTGGGAACAAGAGGAAGCACAGAACAAGTACCTGGCTGAGAATTACACTATGGTTTTCCTACTTGTTAGCAGATTGGCTTGCAACAATCTCACTAGGAGTTCTTTCTAACAAAGTTGGAGACAGTACTGAAGGTGATTTTGTGGAGCCAAAGTATGTCATAATATCTCTGTGGGCCCCACTTCTTCTCATTCACCTTGGTGGCTCAGATACAATGACTGCTTACTCTATGGAAGACAATGAACTGTGGGGCAGGCGTTTTCTCAGTTTTATTGTCCAGATTGTGGTGGCACTCTATATCTTCCTAAGAGTCTGGACGGATAACGATCTCAACGTTTTGGCAATACCGATATTCGTTGCTGGTATTGTCAAAATGGGGGAGAGAATTTGGGTTTTGTGGTCTGCTAGCAGCCAGCAATTCAAAGAGTCCTTGTTTCCTGACCCTGATCCAGGGCCTAATTATGCTAGGTACATGGAAACATACATTGCAGCATCTCATGAGGGGTTCTTGGTTGATGTGCAAGGCCTTGAAACTCCTTCAATTGGTGATGACCACACTCATGCAGCTGCAGAAGCCAACATCATCCCACTGCCACAAACTGACACACATGGACCTGATGAAATTGTAAAGATTGCTCACAATTTCTTGAAGACTTTCAAGCCTCTCTTTGCAGATCTCATCCTGAGCTTCCAGGATGTTTTGGAAAGCAGGTTGTCTTTGCAGAATGGGATTGGAGAGGAAGTGTTTCAAGTTATGGAAGTTGAGCTTGGATTTATGTATGATCTCTTCTACACCAAAGCAGCAGTGACATATTCTTTCATGGGTAGTTTTCTCCGTTTGGTCACAATATCTTGCAATGTTAGTGTGCTGTGTGGCTTCTTTTCCATACAGAAGAACCAATATCCAAAAGTGGATGTGTTTGTTACATATGTGTTGCTGCTTGGAGCTATCACCCTAGAGATATATTCAGTAATTTCACTATATATATTGTCACCAGATTGGACAATGCTGTGGCTGAGTGGGCACAAGAACAAGGTGACTAGTCATATGATGCGGGCCTTGAAAAAGGTCAAAAACAAGAGGTGGTCAAGCAGCATTGGTCAGTTCAACCTCATAAGCTTTTGCTTGAAAGCAAAAGAACAAAGATGCAGTATCGTTCAAAAGCTTTGGTGCTTCATGTTTGGAAAAGGTTTCAGAAAGAAAGTAGGTAAGTGTAGTCTCGTTCGAATGATAATAGACATCTATCAGTCCTATCAAAAGTACAAGTGCACTGATATTAAAATTGTCAATGATGATCTGAAGAACATTATCTTTGAGCACTTCATAAACAAAATAAAAGAGGTCAACATGACAGAAGAGGTCAAGGATGAGGAGAAGGTAGCGGATGAAATCAAGAGATTTTGCTATCATAGAGGCAACAAAGTGCTCGAAAGATTTAAATGTTCCGCGCAATTAGGGTGGAGTTTTGAGGGAGAATTTGATCAAAGCATTCTTCTATGGCACATTGCAACAGATCTATGTTATAATTGTGTCTCAGGTGAAGGTGCAGATACAAACAGTGGTCAAAATTTTAGAGAAGCAAGCAAATTGTTATCAGAGTATATGTTGTTTCTTCTTGTGATGAGACCATCCATGCTGCCAAATGGGATTGGTGAGATCAGGTTTCAAGACACATGTGCTGAGGCAACTGAATTTGTGAAGGACAGAAAGTCCATAAAACGCAAGAAGGAAGCATTCGAAATGCTACTCATAGTGAGTAGTGAGAGTGAAAATGTTCATCCTTCACAGGTTAAAGGCGATAGAAGCAAGTCTATATTATTTGATGCATGCAGGTTGGCCATGCGTTTAACAAAGCTTAGGAACGAGGATGAGGGGGAGACTAAAAGAATGTGGGAGTTAATCACTCAGGTGTGGGTTGAAATGCTAGGTTATGCTGCTAGTCACTGCCAAGGGATTCATCATGCTCAGCAACTAAGACATGGTGGAGAACTCCTCACACATGTTTGTCTTCTCATGGCACATCTTGGGATAACAGATCAGTTTCAAATCTCAAAAGGGCATGCCAGGAAAAAATTGATACGCAAGTGAATTGTATGAGTAATTTTTGCAATGTAATGCTACGTACACTCTGTATTAAAAAAAATAATAAAAGTCTTTATTTAATATAACTTCAAGTTTTTAACTATTTATATAATATAACATGTGATGTTCTATATTAGTGGGTGAAATGTTTAGAAATAAAGATTCGAAGTTTTTAGAAGAGGAAATTATGTGTATATACAAAGTTTGACACATTATCTTTATTTATACTAGCGATTCCTAAATTAATCATTAGAATTTTGTCAACACAACCTTAATCTAATGGCTACAAATGATTCTCTAGGATATTCTTTAAATATCCAAACCTACAAACATATTCTTGAAATTTCTACATGGTATTCTATAAATATCTTCATTTTTTTTTAGATTATACTTCTAGAATTTGACCTTAAGCTTCTAGAAATTAGGCGACAAGTAAGGCTCAAAATCAAGTTCATATTAGAATACTCCCTTTAAACTTGATTTTTGTTACTTTGATAAGTGCTATAATTTCATTAAGTTTATGACCTAGTTTGAAGCACTTATATCAATTTTTCTTGCTTTAGACCTTGTTTTTAACTCAAAACATATCTAAATTGTTAGGTGATCACATTTTGTTTTTGAATCATGTTTTTAGGTAACTTACAAGTATTTGGTTGTTGTTTTGTAGTTTAGGAGAAAGCTAGGATAAAGAAGGAAGGAAGTCAAGCACAAAGTGGTGAATTCAAAGTTGAAGAAATTTTTGGTTAAGTCCCCAAGCTAAGCCTCAGATCCACGCTTAGCCTCAGCTTGGTAGAGAATCGCTGGAACAAAAATTCAATCCTCACGCTGAGCGTGGAATTGGGGTTGGGCGTAGGAGTCCCATAAACTCATTTCACTCCAGACCTATCCTCAAGCTTACCGTGGCATCTCATGGTTAGAGTGGATTGTGTTGACATGTCATTATTCACATAAGATAAAAGCTTTTATGACCTAAAAGTGGGATTTTCGAGATGAGAAGTAAGAAGAGAATCATTCTTGGAGTTTGTGTGGCGGCTGGAGAGTTCTGGAACCTTCAAGATCAAGCTTCTTCCATTCTTCACCATTTGTAAAGTTCTACATGTCTATGTATAGCTAACTTCACCCTTGTTGGGGTTTGATGTAACTAAACTCATTCTCATGTGTAAACTTTAAGTGATCAATGTTAGTTGTTATTCATTATTATTGCTCTTTTTTTGTGCATAATGCTTGTTATGGCTTGATCACCCTTAACTTGAACTTGAGGCTTTTAAGAGATTGAGAAATGATTTTAAACCTTTGACTTGAAATAGAGCAGCTAATGGTACTTATTGCTAGAGATAGAGTAAATGCCATTGGTCTTTCTGAAGCTCTGGGTTTTAAAGCTAGTTTCTTGGTTAAACTATGCAAGAGATTGATAGTTTAAGTTAGCAACTTAGATGCCAACTTGTAAGAGATTAGGGTTGGTTACTTTTGAGAGTGATTGATAAATTCTGAATAATAACTATTATGAACTTAGTGATAAACATGAGAGGAAGGTTTAGTGAAGTCAAACCCCAACAATTTATTAATATTGCATTAGAATCAAGTTTTGCACTCTAAGTGTTTACCAAAATACCAAAAAGAATTGTTATTGATTGTTTCAATTATTTACTGCAACAAATTGCACTCTTATTGCTTTCTGGTAGCTTAATTAATATAACAAGTGAAATTGCAAAGTGTTGCGCAAGTCTCTTGAGAGACGATACTCATACTTTCATTGAACTACTTATACAATTTGATTCACTTTTCAAGGGAGATAACATACTCCAATCAAATTTCTCAACATGGTGAAGTCTTCTTTCTTGAGTGACTTGGTGAAGATATTAACAACTTGATCACAAGTCTTCACATATTCCAGATACACATCCTTTTTTGCGATACTCTCTAATGTAGTGATAACACGTATCAATGTGCTTTAATTCGGTCATGGAAATTTGGGTTCTTAGCCAAATCTGTTATTAACTTGTTGTCCAAAAAAATCTTTGTTGGATCTTCTTATGATAGGGTCTAACTCCTTTAGTAGATTCCATAACCAAATTGCATGACAAACACATGAAGTAGCAGCTCATACTTTGCTTCATGTGTAAAAAGAGTAACAATTGGTTACCTCTTTGACATCCATGTGAAAACAATATCTTCTATGTAGAACACAAAGTCTATTGTGCTTTTGCGATCATCCACATCTCCACTCCAATTGCTATCACTATATCCAACAAGCTTGCAGTCATTAGAAACATAATAGTACAAGTCAAGATTATTTGTATCTTTGATATATCAAAGAATTCCTTTTGCCGCCTTCAAATGAGTGGTTGTTGGATTCTCCATGTAATGCCTAACAACTCTAATTGCATAAAGAGTATCAGGCCTTATGTATGTTAAATACCACAAACTTCTAATCAAGCTTTTAAAGAGTGTTGGATCCACTCTTTCTCCTTCCTTATTCTTTGATAGCTTGATTTTATATATTCCATTGGTGTGTCAACTAGATTAGAGTCATTCATCTTGAACTTCTTAATCACCTCCATAGCATAAACTTCTTGAGTGATGAAGATGTCTTTATCTCCATGTTTTACTTCAATGCTACGATAGTAATAACCTTCTTGAGTGATGAAGATGTCTTTGTCTTCTTGTTTTACTTCAATGCTAAGGTAGTAAGATATAAGACTAATGTCAATTATCTCGAACTCCTTTGTCATCTCTTTTTTAAACTCATCGAACATGCTTGAATTGCTTTCTATAAAGATCAAGTTATCTACATACAAGCATACAATTAAAACATCGTTATTTTGGATACTTGATGAAGTTTTTTTCATGTAAGTACTTGTCAATTCATTCCAAATTCTTAAAGCTTGTTTTAACCCATATAGTGCCTTTTTTAACTTTAAAACCTTGACTTGACTTCATAGTCTTGAGGTTGTTCAATATATACTTCTTCTTCTTCAAGGGTTCATTAAGAAAAACAAATTTCACATCCATTTGGTATATTCTCCAATTGTTTTGGGATGCTAATGAAATAATAGTTTCTAGTCGAGCAACAAGAAGAGAAAATACCTCATTAAAGTTGATACTAACTCTTCGACTATAGTCTTTTGTCACTAATCTTGTTTTATATCTTTCAACTTTTCCTTTAGCATTCTTAGCTTTGTACATCCACTTAACTCAAATAGTCTTGTTCCATTTCAGAAGTGAAACTAACTCTCATGTGACATTTCTCAATTGTTTTGATTTCCTCATCCATAGCATTTTCTCAATTCTTGTTTTCTAAAGTCTTCTTCGAAGTTCATAGGTTCACACTCAACAAATAGGCAAAAAAGAGTAAGATTATCTTGATTTTTAGTGACCTAAAGTTCTTGTAAACTCTTGAAGCGTGGAACTCTTTCACTCGAGTTTTCATCTTCTTGATAATTCACGATTGGTGAAGTTGGTGGAGTTAAAGGATAAGAAATCCTTAATTGATTCAGAACCATAAATGGTGCAGTATATATGTAAATGTGATAATAATCTTATAAATGAGGCAATCCCAATATGATAGAATCAAATATTATATGTAACATATTTCTATCATAATTAGACCACAAATTTAGGAATGAAATTAGTTGGCATTGTATCAATAAATAATAAGGCTCTCTGCCTCTATACGATAACAAAGAAATAAAATATACTTTCATTCCTTTTTTTTGTCTGCTTCCATTTTTTATCTGGTGGGCCGGGGTAGTAGGTTGCTCTCTTACTTGGTCTATTCTTGATTGAGATATATCATCTTCTTTGAAATAAGGAAATAAGTTAAAGCCTTCATCATGTGATCCCTAATCCCATTCTCATTTTTCATTGTAAACAACGTCTTGACTAATGATTGTTTTTCTCATATTAGGATTATAGAGCTTGTAGCCTTTGAATTTTGATTCATACTAATGAAGATATTTTTTCTGCTTTTGTCATCTAACTTGCTCCTTTTATTTGGTATGTGCACACGAACAATGTTTTCAAAGACTCTTAGATGCAAAATGTCGGGCTTCCTTCCGATCCATGCTTCTTTGGGTTTTTTCCACATACACTTCTTGTTGGAGATCGGTTGGAAATTAAGGTAAGCTGCACAAGCCACAACTTCTTGATTTGGCTTAGAGTTTTACACATTACCCCTATTTATATTAGTGACTCCTCCTAAATCAACAGTTAGAATTTTGGCAACACAACCTTAATCTAATGGTTACAAATGATTCTTTAGAGTATTCTTAAAATATACAAACTTACTAACATTTTAGAAATTCTACATGTTACTCTATAAATATTTTCAAAAAAGTTTTTTTTTTAAATTATACTTCTAAAATTTGATCTTAAACTTCTAGAAATTTATAAACTTTTATTTAGACAAATAAAATTCAAAATCAAGTTGATATTTCCGCCGTTTTGACTTCTAATCATGTTTTTGCTATTGTTGACCTTCAGTTTGTCATTGTTTTTGTGGAGGTTCCGTCCACTAGTTCTCTGCTGTTATGCCTTTAGATATTAGGTGGCTTACCCTAATAATTAAGACAGTAGTACACATGCCGAATAATTAAACTATTAATTAATTCAAGCTTTAATAGATCCAAAGGTTTGGTGTAAAAAAAAAAAAAAAAAAAAGATCCAAAGGTTATATTAGAGTGAATGCACACAAACTTGTAATCCTAATTAAGATTTTCTTGTTTACCACAAGAATACTTTTCATTGACTTGTATAAACAATCTTAAAACAAGAGATGGAATATCAATTATCTTATCTTTAAAACTGAACTGGAAGTGTAATTATAAGTCCTTGATCCAATGAATTGTATTAGTTATGTCACATGATTGATTCTCGAAAATACAGCATATCCTGCGTTGCTACTCATATGACAAACTTATAAAATAAAATGCCAAGTGGTAGCAATGGCATTATATTTAAGTGTATGTTTGGTGCATGCAGTAGTTTTTATAATATTTTTTTTTTCATCATATGATCCATTTTATCCATCTCTCTCTCTTCCTTCCTATGCTTTCACTATTGTATAATTTTATTGTACAAAAATAATTTCTCAAAGCTATGTACACAATCCTTATATAATAATACAAAACCAACGCATAGCTGTTTAAACAAGTGACAAGTATGATAAAATAAATTAAATTATACCCACGATTCAAATTAAACCACACTTAAAAAATTTAAATAATGTAAACCATTTTTTTTAAACCAAACTAGTTAATTATTTAACAAATAATTTTATTGTCTAATTTAAAAGTATAAATCTTTTGTACTGCAGTGTAGCCTAGCTTTTGGATACGAATTTCAATTGCATGAGATCTTTTATGAGTGGCATTCCAAGCTACAATGGTCCAATGAGACTTATCCGGTCTCACTTTTCCAGAGGAGATAAATAATGACAATATAAAAGTTTGAGTGACTGGGATTTTTAATCTAGCACAACTATACTTTTCTCCGAACTATTTCAAGTTTTATATAAATCCAACAATTATATTTTATTTTATTTGTCATTTCTTATGTTCAAAATTAGACATTGTATTTACAAATCACCAGCAATATACAAGAGAAATCATTTAATTATCTCAATATAGTCCCAGAGTCCTTATGTCTATCATTAAGTTACTCATGTGTCTACGTTTTGGATGTCTATTTCTAAGCTTACGAGGGTGTTGTTGTTGGACTAATATATTAACCCCATTTATCCACTCTAGATTTTCAGTCTTGAAAGTGAGGTGTGCTGAAATCTCATATCAAGTAAATCAATTTTATAAGTTAAAATTTCTAAGAAATGTAATAGAAAGAAAAGAAACAAGTATTGCAAAGGTTGTCACATAAATTGTGTGTTGATAATGTAATATTGTCTTATGATGTTAATCAATTAGTATAATAAATAAATAAATATTGTTAACTAATTACAAATCATAATACATATAATTTTGAGTTTAATGATCATGTCTTGATAATGTATTTTTGTTTTATATCAGCTAAATACAAATCATAATGTACAATTTTTAATTTTTTAAAATTCAACAAATTTATTATACATAAATTCTGATTAAATAATATTAGAAAAAATCTTCGCACGGTCCTTATATACACTATTTTTTCATTAATAATACGTCTCAAAAAGTTAACAAAGTAAATTACGTCGACACATAAAACCAAACATATGTAATTACGAGTGTGAACAACTGCAATTAAAACATGCCTGTCAATAAAGGACCTCTAGCATCTTCTGGATAAGATTCTTCATAAACATTGGGAAACAAAAGAATAAAAACATAGCTATTCTCAAATCTTAAACATTTAGTCTTTCTGGGAAAAAAAAAAAATCAGGCACGCGAATTTATTTCTTCACATTGACACGAACAATTCAATGAGCAAGAAACCTGAACAAGTCTAGCGAATTAATTGAAACAACACAAGGAATGGATTAAGCAAAACAATAAACAATTAATTCATAAGCACAAGGTTAAGAAGCTACCCACTACCCCCAAGAACAGCTTTAAGCTTCTTCACTAGGGCAGGGTCAAGGAAAGTAGTCTTTGTCACCAAAGGAGTGGAGAAGTTGCTGGCAAACAGTGCAAAGTCAAGGATTTGGAGGCCAGGGTTTGCACTACTGAAGATAGCAAAAGCAAGGGCACTCTTCTTGCCAGCTGCAACTTGAAAGTGCAACAACCCTTGTGGGAAAACCATGAGCTCTCCCTTTTTCAGTGTCTTCTCATAAACTATGTTAGCTGATGATATGAATCCAGCAGTGATGTGGCCATGAATCACCACTAGTAGTTCATTGGCACCAGGGTGAGTGTGAAGTGGGATAACTCCACCAGGACCAAGGTCTAACCTTGCTGCTGAGAGACCAAGGCCATTGACACCAGGGAATTGGCCAACAAATGCTGGTGTCACAGCAGCATTGATTATGTTTGTGACATTTGCAGCTTCAGCCAAGCCAGGATACACAAAGTCATCTGAAGTTACTGTTGCTGGTGCCTTGCATGGAAAGCCTGCAGGGCCATCTGCACCCTTTAGGTCTGCCACACAGAAGTCTTGGACTGAGGCATTGGATGTGGATAAGAGAAGGGAAAGGAGGAAAACAATGTGGAGAAGCATCTTGGTGGTGTGAGTGGGAATGTGGGAATGGTAGGCTGCATGATGCTGTTATATATATGTGAGGTTTGTTGCTAGCTAGTTGGAGGCTGAATATATGCCATGCAGCTAATAATTACAAATGCAAAATGAGAGACAGACTAACACTTTATGGATTCTGCAGAACATTAATCCTGCTGACATGGTCCCCTACTGTAGCATCATCAGACAATGAAAATGAAAAGTTCTTTTCTTAATTAATCTATTTGGTGAGTAAAGAAGACCCTAATTAATTATGGGGCCCTTTGGGTATCATAGATTCATACTATAAGGCCAATCAAATAGGAAACATATATATATATTTGGGTTGGATAATGTGCTAATTAATCAACTTACTAACCATAAACTACTTTGCATGTCATTGCTGGTAATTATAACATATCAATCAATCTACATCATGTGGAAATATATATCAACCACAATGTGTTATGTCAAGCTGGTAATTTATCAAAAAGTTTAAATAAGGACTACGAAGGGATAAAAGGAATCACACACCACATTTCATCTAGTTAAACCTTATGTTGGTCATGTTTTTTGTTGAGTTTTTCTAGCTAATGTGAAACTCATTAACTACTGATCCCTTAATTTTTCGAGTTCTAACAATTATTTTTTTCCAGTTTTGGAGAGGTCAAATATATTTTGAGAGAGTTATTGCAAAAGTAAACCATAATGAAAAAAGGAAAGTAACTAATTAGAATGTGGTCCAACATCATGTAAGAAGGATAGGAAGTCCACAAACACGGACATATGACAGCTTAAAGCTTTGCTAGCTGTTCTTTCAATAGGAACCATGTAAATGTGTGGAAAAGAGAAAAGCCCTTCTTGCTAAGATATCTTATCAATATCATCGAAACAGAATTTTTTGTATAATTTTATTGTACTAAAGTAATTTCTCAAAGCTACGTATACTCGATCCGTATAAAATAATACAAAACCAATGTTTAAACAAGTGAAGGTATGCTTCAAATAGAAAATGTAAACCCATTTTTTAAAAAAAACTAGTTAACTACTTAACTAATAATTTAATTATCTAATTGGAAGTGTAAAAATCTTTTACATCGATGTTGTACATTTATTAAATTCTAATTTTAAAATATAATTTTTACACTACAATAAAATGTACTTTTAGTAACATTTAATATTATTTTTAGTGATAATAAATTAAAAATGATAACAAAATATTTTATCAGCATTTCTACATTATTTATTGTATGTAGTGTCGATAAAATATTTGTCAACAATTAATTATTTTACGTGTTAATAAAGACTCTTATTATAATCGAGATAAATGTATGATTTTTGTGATATTTTTTAATGGCATTCAATATTTTTTTTACTACTGTTACTAAAAAGTTTAAGAAAAAATTTCTAGCTTATATCCTTTTTAATTATTTTATCTCTAGTCAATGTGATGCTTGCAAAGTGAGGGTTGGTCTCTATTGATATCATGTTAGAATACATCTTCTCAAGTTTAACATTATGAACTTGGTCCGAGAATAAATGATAGGTAATTGATATCATCTTAGAATAATGAGTTATGAGTTTAACTTAATCCTATAAAATTAACTTGTAAATTGAGGGTTGTCCTTGTTGGGATATAAATAAGGTTTCACATCAATAAAATAAAAGAAATAATAACTTATAAAATACACACATATTTTCAATGATTGAGAGACCTTTTAGATGAAAACCAAACACAAAATCGTGAGGACAACCACAGGTTGGATTTGGTGATAACTAATAAGTTATAACTAAAGAAAAGTGATTATTAAAAAAGAAATAACAATTTATAAAGAGAATAATATCTATTATTATGTGTAAAATAACCTTATAAAAATAATAAAGTACGTTATAACTTTTATAAAATATTCACTCAGACAAACACTATAAAATAATTTCAACAATCCTCTACTTATGTATTTTTTAAGTACATTATCTCTAATTAATGTGAAATTTAAGTTTTTTTTAATAAAATGAATTAAAAGTTATTCTTACTTTTTACGACAATTTTTAATAGTTATTCTTTCAAATATCTTTTTAGTGATTATTATTTATTAATTATTAATTTATTATTATTAAATAATTGTTAGTGATAATAAATTTTGGTGTACCAATATGTTCTGTTTAAATTAAATTTAGTTTAATGTCATAAAAAATCAAACCATGACCAGCGTGTGGCCAGCTTTCGGATAATAGAATTCCAATTGCATCTGATATTTTATCAGTCTACAATGGTCAATGACTTGTCCAGTCTCACGTGTCCAAAGGAGATAAACAATGACAGTATAAAAGTCGGAATAACTGAGATTTTTTAATCAGGCAGAACTATACTTTTCTCCGAACCTTATTTCAAGTTTTATTTACGTCCTACAATTATATTTTTTTGTTGAGTTTTTCTAGCTAATTTGAAACTTATTAACTACTCAATTTTTCAAGTCCAAACAATTATTTTTCCCAACTTTGGAGAGTTCAAGTATATTTTGAGAGTTGATGGAAAAATAAACTATAATGAGCTGAAAAAGAAAGTAATTAGAATGGGGTCCAACATCACGTGGGAAGGATAGAAAGCTCACAAACACAGACAAACGGTACGACAGCTAAAAGCTTTGCTATCTGTTCTTTCAATAGGAACCATGTAAATGTGTGGAAAAGGGAAAAGCCCTTCCTGCTAAGATATCTTATCACTACCATCTGGCCGGTATAGAAGACAATATGCCATAAATAACTAAAAGGCACAAAGGAAGTTTCCATTCTGGTTTGTCCTTCGTGATGTTAGCTTTTTGGCATGGACTTGGAAATAAGGTTTTACATTCCAAATAATCTTTAAAGAATCAATGGAGACTATTGGAATAATATTGAGGGAATAAGTGATCTTAAGTTTCTTTCGGTAGGGACACAAATATATATCTTCGGTGAGAACTCACTCGAGACTGCTGTTTAAGCCAAGCAACCTTAATTTCATTCGCATGGCCTTGTAACTCTCTCAGATGGTGATGATCATAGTTACCAAACTCCTGCAGCTGCAGAAGCCAACATCCTCCCATTGCCACAAACCGACACTTATGGACCTGAAATTATTGTAATTATTGCTAACAAATTCTTGAAGACTTTCAAGCCACATTTTGCAGATTCCATCCTGAGCTTCCATGATGTTTCGAAAAGCAGGTTGTCTTTGCAGAATAGGAATGGAGAGGAAGTATTTCAAGTTATGGAAGTTGAGCTTAGATTTATGTATGATCTCTTCTACACCAAAGCAGCTGTGACTTATTGTTTCATGGGTAGTTTCTCTGTTTGATCACACTATGTTGCAATTTTAGTGTGCCATGTAGCTTCTTTGTCATACAGAAGAATCAATATCCAGTGGATGTGTTTTTCACATGTTTTGCTTCTTGGAGCTATCACCCTAGAGATATATTCAGTAATTTCACTGTATATAATATATAGTCCTCAGATTGGACAATGCTGTTGCTGTGGCTTATTAGATCATTTATTATAAGCAACTCCCAACCATTTTAAATGTCATTGTGTTACATTACTCATATAAGCAATTTATATTATATTTTTCTTCAATAAAAATTGCATATAAACAATCTTATTTTTTACAATTCACTACACTTTTTGATAATTTATACTATAATTTTAATAAATTTTTCCTCTTTTTTTCTTAAGTAACAGGGCTTATATAAGTAACGTTGCTAAAATTTAAGAAACTTACTATTCCTCTCCAACGGAAAATTTTAATAAGGAACACTCATGTGACGCTAAAAAATGCACAAGCACTTCCCGCTAGAGATGCTCTTCGGCACAAGAACAAGGTGACTAGTCATATGGTGCGGGCCTTGAAAAAAGTCAAAAGCAAGAAGTGGAGCAGCATTGTTCAGTTCAACTTCTTAAGCCTTTACGTGGATTTGAATTATAATTGTTCAATTAAATGAACTAACAAAAATTAAGAATTGTTTAAAGTGAAATATGCAAAATTTATAAATTGATGAATATAAAAAGCTTGCAATAAATTATGAAGAATTTGAATTTATATCATGAGAATAATAAGAGATTGATTTCATAGTTATGTAAATCCTTTTAAATTTCAATTCAATATATTTCAAATTATGAAGTTGATTCAATAGTCCGGAATTACATCTAAACCATAATTCTTTAGGTTAGAAATTCTAGGTTGTTTAAGAAAAATTTTAATTCCTTAATAATTTTTATTTAACAAACTATAATAAGGTTAGGGACCAAAAATTGAGTGATAAGACTTATCTTATTCCTAAAAATAAGTGTTACCAACGTTTTATTTATGTTGTAATTTTAAAAGGATTTTTCAATCTCAATTAAAATTATATAAAATCAAGTATAGGTTGATCAGGTCATAATAAACATCAATATAAAGTAAAAAGATTAATTGAATAAAGACTTTTATTGAATGAAATCACAAAAAAATTACATAAGTATACATCAATCTCTAATAATGGAGAATTAACCATTCATGATTAAGGGTTACACAATATTAAATGGAACCCTCTCTAATCTCTTTAAAATTGCATGTTCTCGTAAAAGTAAGATATGAAGACCTCCTTAAAATCCTAATTTATATTAATTGGGCTTCTATTATTTTATGTCTCCATGTAACTCGCTTGAGCGAGCTTGTTCGATCCTATCAAAGGTGTTCTTTGACTTGACTCATTCAGAGCACCCATATGGTTGCTCTTTTCTCACTTAAGCGAGCTAGCCTTATCTTTTAAGGGATGCTCTTTGACTTGCCTCACTTCAAGTTAAGTCTTGGTTGTTTTTAGTGAATTTCACTCACCTAGAGCAAGCACTCTACTTGCTTAAGAGAGAGCTAATTTCATCTTCCAAGTGTAGTCTTTGTCTTAGCTTGCCCAAAGCTAGTTGTTGGATGTTTTAAGCAAATTTGTCTCTCTCAAAGCACACACAGTTCATCTTAGAGTCGATGACTTGTTTTGAAATTTGTCGCTTCCTAAGTTATATTTTTCCCGTGTCACATCTC